AGAGACATACCTGTTTTTCCCTACTCATTACACTTTCTGTGATCAAAAGAAATATGTTTCTTTGTTCTTAAGGTTAACTTTCACATCTAGGTGCAGGTCCTAAAGGACTTTTTCTTAAATAAAGTATTCATAAAAAATTCAAACAACAGTTATTCATTATGATATTTTTCTTGTTCCTTACAAGTATCATTTTTAAATTTGCAATTAAAAATTATTTCTATATAATATAGGACTTAACAAGAAGGGTTGTTCAAATGTTTAGAGCAAGAGTATGGATGATTCAGGCTTGTTGTTGCTAGCTGTTAAGTGTCTGAACAGACAGGTGGAAAAAAATCCTTAGCTTTATTTGCTAAATATTAACAGATAATTTAATATTTGTGTTGTACAGCAAAAACACTGAACTTTATCATTTTCCTCATATCACAAAATCAACATGGAAAAACATCTTGCTGGTCACATCAAATATTAATCTATCATTTTATTTTATGTGTGTAAGCAGACAGGCAATTATCTATTTTGCTTAAAAAGCAACACCCAACTGGAACACTCATTAGAACGATGAGCAACAATTTACTAGATTAGATTTAGTGATCGATTATTGTAGTGTTGTTCTTAAAGTCACCTTTTTTTAAATATAATTTTGTCTGATGTTGGCAAATGGTCTGAATATTCATAAATCATGTCTGCATTATCAATTGGCAAACAATTACCAGTTCCCCTTGATAGTCACTGGTTAAACATTTTTCAGCTAGTCAATGCTAATTTCTAGCCCTAACGATTTAGTATTTTTGACTGATTTTTACTGATTGATGTTTGATCTATTCATATTTGGTAATCAATAACTGTTTTATATACAGTAAATAAAATAATTTTTTATGTAGCATACTTTTTAATCATTTATTTTCTTTATCCTAGGAATTAAACAGCCTCCGATTCTCTAATTCCATTCTACTACAGCAGTTATTTTTTGAAAAACTTTATTCACATCATCGTTTTTAAATAAAGATCTGATAAAAATAATGCTGAGGATAAGAACTGTACCTGAATTTCGGAGTGATGTGTACAAGGCACTTTTTTTGAGGATTGTTGACCAGCCAAAATCTGCTTTGCACCTTCTATTATGGCAAGGTATGAAAAGCGTAACTGATCTGGTGTTTGAATAAGCCCCATGCGATACTTCCTCATTGCTAATAAAATATCTCGTACCTTTATTGTTTCTGTACATCCACTTTCTTCAATCTGCATTTAAAACAAAGTTAATTTTTTTTTACCGAATACATCTGAACATCTCAGCCAAATGAAATCTAGTTTATTAGATCACCTGACAATTCCCTAAAGCAAAATCAATTATTAAATGGATCCTTTCACAAAAATGTTTGTCCAAATGATATAATACAGAACCTTCCTGAAAATGTAACAAGAGAACTAGAACTCGATCAAAATTTAATCTTTTTCAGTTCAGTAGCAGTGTATTAACATTTTTGACATTTTGCATTCATAAACATTTATAATTCATAAATATCACCATATCTGTAACATGTACATTTCAAACATAAAGTATGATAACTACTGAATGTTTTTGAGCCTAAAACTGATTTTTTTTAGTAAATTCACAATTCCTAATGAAATAAAAACCACTATGTGGCATAGCTTTTACTATGTCATTGCACAATACATTAAAATACACTCATGAATGTTCATCCAATAAACAAAGACTCTGTGAATCAAGGTTCACTTACCCTATTCATTTCATAAAATAAGTGATTGTCCTATAAAGAGAGACTTTTAATTAACATTTAAGCCAATTTTTATATATCTGCACAGCCACATTAATTACTTATTTATTTATTTCTAAAAAACAAACATTTCTGAATAGTATAAAATACAATCATAAACCTAATGACATCACAGGCTAGCTCTCACCATTGAAAGAAACTCTGCAATAAAATATTCTATATACTAGATGTACTTCTGCATGGTCCCCAAAAATTGTGTATTTGAAGAGTAAATAAAACCAAAATTAAGAGTAACAAAAATATTTTTCTTGCTTTTGAAGTTCATATGTCATGCTATGTTGTAGCCTAAAGAGTGCATGATTCTTCCCGTGATTCATGACATGTGCACATTTTACTAAAGTCACGACAGTACAAATTACAGTGTTAAGCATCCCTTAAGAGACATCATTTTAGTGTCTACTGACTGACTGACAGACAATACACTAATGTACAGTGGTGCAAGTGGTTAAAACAGGTGACCCCTCCAGGCAGCCTTTAGCCCCTTTCAGGGAAATGATTAAAAATTAATATATAAATGATATTATTTATCTTACTGTACTTTATTTATGAAAGTTACCTCTGTATTCATTTTATAAGTTATATGCAATTACTTAAAAGAGTTATAACTAATCTTTAAGCTCATGCTAGGGTGTAGTTTTAGTAAAGCAAAAAGCACTATTTGTTACCATACATCGTTAAAACCTCCACCTTACCTTGATAAATGTTTCAATTTTCAACACAAAATAAACAAACAAGGAAGGGATTCAATAAAATTAATTTATTACCAAAACACAGTTGGATTATTTTTAGTCATGTAATCAAAGGAAGGCTTCTGATATAACAACTAAAAGTTTAGAAATTCACTATCCATAATGAGGAAAGGAAATTCTAAGGAAAATATACTGTAAGAAAAAATTACTCCCATTTTTCAGACAATATATTTATGACTTCTTCATTTTGGAAGTTTGGAAATGCAGATATCTATATTTTACAATTTTATGACAACAGAAATTTTAAAAATTCACTGTTTTACAACTATTTGTGGTAGAAATAAGCAACAAGCATGTTAAGATACCACAGATTTTCATCTATATTTTGTATATTGACAAGTTTTATGCAGGCAGGCAGTTTAAGTATTTTTACTACCAGAAAAAAAACCAAAAAACTACAATTTACCTACAATACATGCTAGTAAAGCTTGTATTAAAACAAACTTTTAAATCTGAACATTTGTTATACTTAGGTTATTTGAAGGGAGGGATCTGAAATAATTTTTGGAAACTTAATGTTGTGATGTTCCCCCATTAAAATAAAATAAAAAAACATAATCCTGGCATAATCAAACACTACTTTATAATGAAAAATGTTTCAAGTTTCAGTACAAACTTGGAGTTCAGACAGATTTATACTCTTAAAAAAAGTTTAAGTTCAGAAAATTTGCAAAATTTACCAAAACAAGACAGGAATCCACTAAACAGAAGGTCCCAGAGCGCCCTATCCCTGCACTGCAATGTACAACAGCTGGCCCTACATCTTGGTTAAGAGCTCCGGATTCTCGGACGGCCATAAGAAAATTGAAGAATGCTGATGGGGATTCTGGTACTCCAAAGTCAGGCCAAGTTGTATAGTGAAAGTGTAATACCACTCGAGATTCCTTACTCTAGGAAACACAAACCTTACTGAAGATAAAGAAAAACTTAAACGTACTATATAGTCTAAAAAGATGTACAACCTTTAACTAGTATTAGAAAATTAGATCCATCCTATGAATAGGAGGGCTAAGCCTGTAACATGGCAGCTGAAACTGATGCTGAAATGAATTGAATAACATTTTTCAAACATAGGTGGAACAGTCATTTATATGATAACTTATTCAATACTGCAGTTATAAGAGAAACTGAACACAGATAAATAGGTAGGTAGATAATATATAATTTTTCTTTTGTTATAATATTTATATGAAACTAAATTACTTTAAACACAATACAACTGAAATTTAAAACACTTTATCACAACTTCATAGTTTATAGCAGCATTAGGTGAGTGTTTGTTCACCAGACCCTAGGAACAGTTCCAAATTTTTTCAGTCTCTACTCCCTCAAAAAACAATGATAAAAGAGAAAATAGACTGAACTATACCCAGGATTCTAACTGTAACTAACTAAATTGCCAGAGGTGTTTCAAATTTGTTATTTGATTTGGCAAGTTTTATTTAATTGGAATTAATAAGCTGCAATCAAGAAACATATTTTAGTTAAATCTATGTAATGTATCATGTAAATTGAAAAACAACAAACACATTCTTTATAGTGTTAATCTTAGGGTTAGTTGCAGAGAAAATGGCTGATACCACCACCTTCCTTGCTATAATTTTGTTTTCACATAAGCAAAAAGAAACATTTGATTTGCTGAACAATATAATTACAAATTCTTTTGGTCTTGTTCTAAGTACATGGATATTTCATTACCAAATTAAGATATAACTAGTATAAGGAGTTACAGAAAAAGTTTGATACATTTAAAAAAAACACAACTCATGTTAAAATGTAAAGTTTTACATAATGGCTATACAGTTTTCATATTATGTTAATTATAGTTATTTCAAAGAATACATTATCTAATATTTTGTGTGACTTGAAGGAAACAATAGCTAAAATTATTATTAGATGTACTTTGAAATCTTTAATGTTAAATATTGATGAAAACAATGCTGCTTGTTTAAATGTCATTTTGTTATTACACAGTATAACTCCTAATACTAGTACATGTAGCACTATCTTTCCTCCCCAAAATAAGTCTCACACATTTTTATAATTGAGGTAAGTAAACATTACATGGATGTTCCATTCTCATCAAACAAAAGGACTTTTAAATGAATTTGAAAGTCATGAACTCAACACTTTGAATCAAATAATTTGTTTACGAAAACAAAATCTCAACATTTTTTCTTAATTGAACCATTTTAATTTTTCCATCACTTCTTATTGTCTATAAATATAAGCCTGTAAAAACCTTTCAGTGATGGGAATTGACAATGCATTCTTTCAGTCCTAGTGGAATGTTAATGGTAAAATACCTATATATTACATGTAATGAGAATCCTGGCATAAAAGAAAGCTTTTCCCATCCACCCATAAGAAATTCTGAAATTGAAATCCAATTGAATGTATCTCTCCTTCACAGCTTCACTGATTTACCTTCCATTTAATATGTTCAACAAGATATTCTAGCAGAGTTTCAAAGATCTGTTGTATCATTAATTCTATTACTTATTTGTTTTACCTTGATACTCAATGAAACTAAAGTTTAGCACTTACATATATCTTTAACATACACTTGCAGGTTAAATTTATTGAATTATTTTTGTAAAACATGTGCTCTATCTATCAGTTAAGACTTCACTATGTTCATATTGCCTTATACTTTTCACCCTGAGGTTTACATTGCACGAGTCAAATAAATTATATGTTTCTTATGATTTTGTTACAAGAGAATAATATCTTTAACCATTAATCCTTCCTTGTTCTTTGTGTATTAGTTTGTGGAAAGTTTTTGATTAAATAGCTACTGCAATTGTGTTTTGTTGGCATTACAGAGGTTGAGCATATCATAAGACAATGATTTCTGAACTTCACCACATTGTTATAGTCCATGTCACCATGTCTGATCATGCTCTATCTGAAAAACATGGAACTTGATAACAGTAATGCAGAAATAGCTGTATAACAATTTGAAATCATTCTAGAAAGAAAAATAGGGTAATTTACATTTATTTAGATTTTTTTTGGGTGGTTATGAGATAAGGTAGAGAAAATAACAGATCAAATATGAAGTTTTCGTGAAAACAAACATTTGAAATTTATTTAGGAGGTTTTAGGGATTACACAAAGGAAATTTGAGACTTTTGAGATGAAGAAAAGTAGTTTTAATCTTATCATGAAAATCACTTTGCACACAGACTATTCAAAACAAATACTCAATATATTCATGGATAAATCTTTATTTTAGTTTTTTAAAATTACTTCATAAAGAAATATTATTTTTTGTATGTGAAAGACTTATAAGGTTAACTGAAAGACTGCCAAATTTTGTGAAAATATACATACTACATTAAATGTTAGTAGTATTAAATCTATAAACACTTTAAATGAGTATAAAGAAGTCACGTGGTTGGTCTAATTGACCGAGCCCATGTTGAGAGAGTTAATGTATCTTTCAACATCATGTATTCCTTGGTGCTTGCAGCTGGCTGAATGGTTACATATTGTGCATCAAAAATAATTCTTACTGGATGATTCAGGCATGATGCATGAGGTACTTTTTGTCCATTCTGGATAGAACTTAGTATTTGATATTTTGTCAGTCAGGGCTGTTTTGATGTTGATGGAGAATCAGATATCAAAATGATTTCACTCATCTTGTTTACTAGACTGACAACAAATGGTGCAAGCTTGATTGCATGTGATAGTTCATTTCATTGGTTATCAGGTGAACAAAGAACCAGTCATTTGATGAGATACACATGCACAACAACTATCTATTTCAGACTGATCCTATCCTCACTAATCATTATGCATATATGAAGTAAAGCACTAGGACTGGTCTAACAGTCTTGTGAAGAGAATTACATGATTAATGTCATATGGTAAAAAAATTAGATATTAAACACTGAAATTGTGATATTTGTTCAAAATGCATGAGAGTTGACTAGTGTGGATTATCCTAGAATAGTTTATGATTGACAATATTAAAAAGTATATAATTTGTACAGTACCTCTAAGTCTGTGAGTAACAGTTCTCGGACAGTGTAATACGAGGCTTCTTTTTCTCCGAGAAAACCCACTTTAAGATTAACATCTGTAAGTAACATCTCATCTTCTCCATCATGCTTACTACCTAAAGGCCAGTACTGGTGACACTTCACCTGAAGAAAATAACTTTGTCTTTTCATCTTATAATACCACAGAAATTGCAATGGCAAAAAATATATAGCTTTGGATAATAAAACAGTTATGCTAATTTTAACATGTATAGAAAAATATATGTAAGACAACGGTATCTTTATATTCTCAATAAATTTAAATTCTAACTCAATAACAATCTAACTACATAGCGTAATACTGAAAGTTTATATAAATATTATTTATATATTCATTACGAACAAATAAGTAAATATGGTTTGGGATCATGTTCACATTTGATTTTTTGTTCCAGGGTTAATTTTAATGCATACTTACTGTGTTTTTTTCAATAACTCTATTTAACATAAGAACAGCCTTTGACTTCTGTTCCCATATCATTAACCAAAAATGTCCTGTAGTTATTGGTAATGGACCCTAAAATAAACGACAGTAAAAAGAATAAATAATTAATGATTTGTTAATTTGTTTTCCAAAAAGCTGTAACCCAAAGCTAAGAAACTATCATGAGAATTTTTTATACTTCAATGGTGTAGTTACTACAGTATTTTGTTCACAAGTGATCTGAACAACTACCAATGATGACCTGCTTTGAAAACAGTTACAGGAAAAGTTTAAATACCCCTGGATAGAGCAGATTATAAATGATTTACATCAATGTAGAGTGAATGAAGTGGCAAGAGCAAAAATTAATAGTTTTTTTGTGAAATTGAAAAAAAAAACACTTGCAAGGACAAAAAAAAAGTATCTAATAGGAAGTTTAGAAGACTTTTGATAAAAACACAGATCTGGGAATTTTGTTATAGTTTCTTTTGAAGTTATTTTCATTCTTGAAAATATTTTTCAGCTAAATTATACATATTGCTGGAAAGGTACAGAATTTATATGATACCAAGACATCAGATAGATAACCTTATTCATGATGTCAGAAAAACACGTAGGTTCAAGAAGTCTTGATATAAAATGATAAAAACCCTATAGCTCGAGTTCTTTTGAAAGGAGGACATTTTTTCTTCAGGGGCAAATGGTTATAGGGTTTTTATCATTTTGTATCAGATAACCTTAGTTAGTTTTAGCAATAAGGTAGGTGATGGCAAATTATTCCAATGACTCAAATCCTTACTTATCGAATGTTATTGTTAAGTTTTATCATTTTCAAACAATGCAAGTAAATAAAAGATCTCCATCAAGAATACTGTTACAAAAATATTATTACCTTAATTGACAAAGGTAATTATCATACTATTCACCATTTCTGGCTGTTTCTGTTGATCATCAATAAATCTTTGTCAGTTTTTGCAGTGTTTTTTTATGATTTACAGCCAGAAATGTTGAATACAGTGATTGGAAAAACAAAATATTGAAAGAAATATGTAAATGAATATCAATAAAGTTGAAACTGATTATATTTGAAAAGTTTCAACTTTATTAATATTCATAAAATGGAACATTCTAAAGTGCAAAGAAGTATTTAAAATACCTTTTCAAAAGTTTTCTTACAAAAATATTTGGCAACTTCACAGCATAAAATATCACAGAAAATCTAAATAAAATTATCTAATGCTTTTAAGGCAAAATTAAATACTATTTACTAAGTTCATGCAATTTGGTTAAGTATTTCCAATATCAATGAAACCCATCTGACCTGGAAAGGGTTAATGATATGATCTATTTATGGAATAGCCTACAATGTACAATAAAAACATTAATAGTTGTGATAATACATTTTTGCACATTGATATATAAATTGTAATAAAAATATTTTATTAGAAAGTAAATTTGAAAGAAATAAAGTGCAAAGATTTCTGTAATTTTTGTTAGTAGTTACAGTAATAGAGAAACCAAACAGGTGGAATTTCTTATCTACCTTTCACTTGGCAAATGTACTTTAAGTTTCATAGCTCAAAGCAAAATAGTAAAACTATGTTAAGTACAAGCACCACTAATACTTGAGAAAAAACCAACAAATTAAGCTTGATATAAACATCTACAGAAACTTAACAAACTGGGGTAGAACTAGCCAAATTTACCCAACCATGCATGCACTTTAGTATAGTTTTCTTAAGCATTCACTGAAAAATACAGTAAAACAAACCTTTTGTTTCAAATCTTATTTTTCCAGGAATGAAAATAAATATGGTAATATTACAGTGAAATTACACACAAAAAACTCAGAAAATTTCTATAACATAAGCAGATATAACAAACTGATCACGAAAAACGTACCTGTATTGAACAACCACAAAATTGGTTTTGCAGTTTTTTTATTAATTTTTAGAAATTATAAAACTAGAGGTTATCTATATTTAGCTAAAACCTTAGTTTTTTTAAAGACATTAGTTTTTAAAGTAGTATTTAAGATCAAAAGAAAACTTTTAGTTTTCATTCTCTAGCTTTTTTTTACCTGACTTTCTGTGTCTACTGTAATAAAAACAGTAAAAATAAAGATTTGTAGTTATTGAAAATAAACCCTGACAGAGCAAAAATGGGATTCAATACACTTACTATGTGCTTCCTGGATATAAACCCCCCAAAAGACACTGAAAAGACATGGTCATATTATCCATTCTAGAAATAGATAAAATGTAGCAAAGGTGTCAGTATTTATTGAAAACAGAAACTTATTATTAGTCTCTTTGCTGCTACTACAGAATGATAGAGATCATATGCATATAAGGAAGCATTTAAACAACATGAGATTTGGCTTTTGAATGTAGAAAGAGAACTACAATCCTTGTTTATAACTGCTGCTGTAAAGAGAGAATAGGTTGTGATAGTTGCTGGACTTAGTATAAAAACCTCTTATCTTTTTTTCTTCCAGCATTTATTCTTCTGAAAAACAAACTAAGAGAATGTTCTAACATTATTTAAATTAGTATTAGTTTTTTGCACAGGATTATTTTCAGCAAATATCTCTACACATGTATGCTTCAATATGTAAATATCTAGAGCATATTTATGTAGTCCATAATTATTATACACTAAGAATTACTAACACAAAAACTTAATGCATATAAAATTTGTATAACTTACCTGTGTAAGAATATAGGCACGTCTGGCAGCTGGTACCTCAACATGACTAGCATTAATGTAGTCCTTATCTCCTTTACTTAATCGAACACGACTATGATCATCTGGAAACAGAGCAATAGTGTTACAAGCTTTGGATTTAACACCTGAAAACTACAATGGTTTAGTCATATGTTTCACCTTTTACATTTTAATTGATATAACATTAGTTTAATTATTCTAGAACTATGCAAGGCAAAACATTATTGCATTCATTAACCAGTCTATGGTTTTGTATAAGCTAGTCATGTGCGACACTAGAAACAAATATAAGCAGACCTAATTAATCACTTTATATACAGCTAAATCAATATATATTTAGGATATTAAAATCACTTCTAATAAATTAAAGAAGTGACTGTACATCAGAAATATTAACAGCAGTAATTTTATTTAAATATGGCATTAAAAAACAAACAAAAATATTAATAAATAACTCTACCTTCTTTAAAACTGTCTACAAAAATACTGTAATGACCCACAACACAGAGGTAAGTTTTCAGGTGTAAAGGTGGAGTGTAAAGACAAATCATAACCAAACCAACATAAGTGTTCCAAAAATATCATTATTTCAAATTATTAAAATGCCATAAATGATCTAAAGAAGCGATATTTTGCTATTAATATTACAATTTTTAACTGAGATTTATGTATGTCTTTTTATTTTATCTCTTTACTATAACAGGTGGAGGTATCATTTTAGTAGTAAATAAAGGATACTTGTAATCAACCATTAAGTCCTAGCTTACCAGATTAGTATTTGATAACTGTCACATATACCACATGTATCTGGTGGAAAAAATATCCTTGTGATTAAAGCTGGGCAATTAGTGGAATTTGGTAATTGATTAATTATTGAGCTCATTAATCAAATACATTCAACTAATCAACAACTCTTACAATAAAATTATTATTATTGTTACGTCTCCGATCGTTAGTTAATTTTCTGTAAATTCGTTCCGACGAAACGTTAGCGACACAAGTCCTTTCTTAAATAAAACTGGTTTATTCTCTCTGAATACAACTTTGCGATACACTTAATTTCAACAGTCGCACTAACAAACGCTATAATTCTCAACGAACGTCTCACGTGCTCGACATCAACAATACTCAGTTCAATTACACATTCTCTGACTGCAGTTCAATTACTCCTTGTTCCGTCACGTTGTGACCGTCTTATATATACCAGACTACCCCCAATCTAGTAGTCTCCCGTCAATTCACGAAGGAACAGGATATTTCTAGAAGGAGGTGGCGTGATACTAGTCACGTGACCTCGCTGATGCAACATTATTTTAATCTTGTTCTGGTTTTTAAAAGACATTTCGAATTACCCTTTCTTTAATATCATAGATATCTTAAGGTTCAATAATTTAAGATCAAGCTATTTTTTTAACCCTCTATTGGACATTGTAATATACAGGCAGCAAAACTTTCTTTGTTGCTTAATTCACACATATATATTTACTTCAATTTTGTAGTTGATTGTTCTTACTTCCAGATAACAGTCTAAATAAACCATGGAACTATTTTTCTTGGATTCTCAATTTAAAAATGTTGCTTCTATGTAATGTACCCATTTATGACTTATTAAAATAAATTTCACAAAAACATTTTTTTTTTGCAATGTAGGCCTACTTAAGTAAGAAATTCAAAGAAAATATTTTTTCCCACCATATTTTCATAATGCAAGCAATAAGGGCTTAATCTTCTTCTGTACATGAAAATGTATCATATTCACAATGTAATATGAAACCCATAACAAGCTGAAAAATAAGTTTCTTTCTAAGAAGGAAAGATGTATTCAGTTAACTGACACCCGATTTTGGCCTATGGCCAAAACTAGCTGATTTTTTTTCTTTATATTTTAGTTGTATTTATTTTTTATATTTTGGACAATAAAGTTTACTACTTTATATAAGAGTTGTTTGAAGTTTTGTCTTAAGTACCATTAGAAGAGCACTACATTATTTAAATGATGTTGTACTTCACAAGATTGAATAAATCAGAAAATTACTAAACACAACAACAACAACAACTGGTTGCATACATTTAGTTCATTGGATTAAGTTTATAATTTTACACAAACACAACTACAATTAGGCAATTAAGCATGAGGATACTTTAGGCACATCTTCATTGTACAAAAGGTCAGTCTTATTATAATGGAGCTTATGATGTATATGTCCAAAACTCGGATCTCAGAAACTACCACACCAATCATAACTGGTTAATATTTTTATAACTAGGCAGTATTTTTATAGTTGAGCAATAAATAAAACAATTGAAATTTCCACAAAAATGATATGTTTCAGATTTAACCAATAAAAATTACAAAAAAGGAGCAGGTTTCAAATGCAAAAAAAAATCAAAAATTATTTATTTTTCTTTAGCAAAAATGTCATGAGTGTTGCAACAGAAAAGCGAGGCACTTTCATTGATAGTTACGTCTACAAAGAAATACTTCTATAAAATCTACTCTGTGATGATAGCTCATTTTTAAACTAAAATTTCAATAGAATCCTTTTCTCATGGATGGTGAACATTACTGAATGTCAAGTATGAGTACATTGTTGTAGAACTGTCAGACAATTCCAGAAAAGGCCTCAGACCCAATAGCTTTCCACAAGAACTATCAGTTACACCTGCCCAGAGGACGGGTATTTCTGCTAGTACACTTAACAGCACATGCCACTTCACTTGTTAAAAGTAGAGGAGAATAAGATTATCATGGGTATAAAATAAGTAATTATTTCATACATAACAATATTCTAGTGATAAATGAGCAAACAATTCACTCTTTTGAATCATTTATTCTTATTATATGATTATTTGTCATATTGCACAATAGGCTTCAAAATTTAGGGTAATTAACTAAGATTTTTTTAAATTAAACATTATTATACTTCATTGTAGCATACCATTATCAAAATAGAGAATATTTCTCATTCATTAAGTTTCTTTCAGTTGTTTTTAGTTTCATATCTGTTCTTTTAGCAAAGATACAATGTTTTTTGGCCTTCTTATAGCGTATTTACTTCCCATACTACCTATGGTTTATAGGCTGAACAGATGTTCAATTAAAATACATTAGGCAAATAGTGATTGTAGTTGATTTATATGCACCATGCCATATCCACATCTCAATCAATAACATTTAATAGTTCATTACAGAATTACCCTTCATTAACATATACCATCCGTTATGCACTTTTAATACAAACTACTAAAATTCAAATTAATAAAATCATTTCAAATTAACTAAATTGAATTAATAATATTAAGATTGTATGGTGTTAATTTTTGTGCTTCACAATAATATAACGGGATTGTTGAACTTTTTACGCTGTTATAGGGAGAGAAAACTACGTTTTAGAATCGTATACACCATTATGACTTTTATATTAAAACTTTCTGCACAATAAAATAAACCCAATTTTCAAAACTTACCGTAAACAATACGCTATTTCTGATTACTGCCCATCTGAATGACACTATGTGTTTGTTTTTAAAGACTCTTGAAATGAACAAGAAAAAACTCATTGGTCATAACATGGGCATGAAAGGCATATTAACATCTGCATCTTAAACTACTTCTCTGAACAAGGAATCTCATTATTTAGCAATGACATCAAATGAGAGACATGATGCCAAACATAATGAGACTACTCTTATCAGTAGTATGTTTTAATTTACATTAAGAATTTGGATAGCATTATAGAGATTGATACTTTAAAAAACTGTTATAGTTCCAAATAATAAACTGAAACATGCATAAATGTTAAAAAAAAAGTTTCATATCCTGTGTATTAACAAAATAAAAATACTTGGAAACAACATAAAACAAATTATCAAACAAGGCTTACTGGAAAATATTAACATAATAATGATAGAATAGAAGCACAACTACAGTAGAATCTCGACATTAAGGGCACCCTTCTGAATGCGTCTAAATCCCTTAATATAAAAAATGAGCCATACAAAGCTGGATTCCATATTGACCATATTAAATTTCTGAATTTTAACCCCCCCCCCTCCATTGTGTTTGGGGTATGCATTTAAAGCCATTTTTGTTACATGTATGTAAGCAGTTTTTTGTGTATACTTTAAAAACATTAAATAAATGGAACAAAGAAATACATGTTTTTAAAATTTGTTTCTATTCCATAGGTATGAAAATACATATAATGTAAAAAGTTACCATGTATTTGTACATCACACACATTAGGTCATTAGCCCAAATATGTGTATAACAAACTTATATTCATATTCTTTACATCATTGGTTATGTGTTTACTTTGTAAAAAGTCTTTAATAGATAATTGTTTGTCATATTAGAGTCATGAAAGTATCTAAAATGTCTGATAGACCTTGCTCAAATGCAAATTGCTTCAGACCAGTGTTTCTCAACCTTTTTTGCTCATGGCTCACTTTTGAGTTTGATTTGTCTCTGTGGTGCCACCCTTTGTAGATGCTGTTACTTAGGAAAAAAAGTTACTTTATTTCCACACTGTTGATTTATAATATATTTACAATACTGTATTGTTTTTAAATATTTTGTTTATAACATACTGTTCATTTATACAAGTAAAAAATATTCTGTTAATCATTGACATTTTATTCAGTGTGATCCTTGGGCCTGATGAACACTTGAAAGTTATTGAATGTCTGGTTGCAGCGCGGTCAGTGATAAATGAAGATCATATCTCTTCACAACATCAAAGCAGTTACGTATTTTTTTATAGCAAATAAGTTACCGGACTAAAACCAGATTCAACCAGATAAGATGTGGGAAAAGCCATAAAATACAACTTTGCCTTCTCCCAGAGCTGTGGAAACTTTATTAGCTATTTTGCTACTTATCCAGAAATAATGTTTGTCCCATTTGAATCTATCTTGGGCTGTTATATCAATCTGCAGTTCAATGAGACATTCTTGTAATGTAATTTTGATTGTTATGCGAGTCCTAATCATGTCAGGTAATTTGACTTCTGAGCTGAGGGGGATATGAGGAGAAGGGAACCTTTGATTCAATTTTAAATATTTTATTCAAGCAGTAAAGTTTCAGTGGCCCATCAGAATTTACTGTGGCCACATAATTTTCCATCATTCACATGTGGCCCCTTAGAAACATGGCATGGCCCACATTGTGAACCACTGTTTTATACCAACAAACCATGCATACAGATTTAGCCGACTTGATCCCTACTCTAGGAACATGATGTGGAATATATCAGCTTATGTATCCTACAGTATTTATAACAAGAATTCTCCAGAGTAAAAAGATTGCACTTTGAATCTGTGAAAATGTTTATTACCAGATATGGTTCAGAGCCAATCCGATAAGCATTGCAAGTGTTTGAATATTAGTCGTCCTTTCAGGGATGTTTGGAATTTGGCGGTATACCATACAGGCATACAAAGATATTTGTGCATATATTTATAAAATCCTATTTCCCTTTCAGCAAACTTGTTAATCAACCAATAAATATTCTTTAGTCACAAATGCTTACATTTTAATTATTTTTATTAAAAACATAGAAAAATAAGTATAAAATACTTCCAAAAAACAAAGATTTTGAGTACTTACAGTGTTATGAGTAATAGTAATTATTTAACAAAATTTTGAAATTAACTCTCTAAAAGGTCATGGCATGCACATTTTAAACTGCCTGCAGTAAAAGGGTTAACTGCCTGCTTTATCAAGTGCTTGTATAGAGAACGAGACTAAAGATATTGCCCTTAATCTGGAATATCGAGGTGCCCATATCTGCAAAATTTATTTTGGTTACAAATAGTAGAAAAAAGAAAAAGACTGAAAAGATCTGTCATTGATCACAAGGTGCTCGTTAATTTAGGTTCTACTGTACCTTTTAATATAAATTTATTATGATCATACAATGTTGACTTTTTGCCTGACATAATTTAAAGTTTGTTCAGGTCAAAGTTATGTTCTATGGACAGGTTCATTATGAAATTTGCTCATGCGAATAACACAGATGGAAATGCCACCAATCGATAACTGTATGATAAACAGTTAGTTTAGTTCACTGGACATTGATGGAAGTAAAGGTGTAAAACCTGATGATACCTTTACTGGTTAAATCATGGTAGTTAATAAATGAAGTATTTGTAAAACATACAGTTTTTTTTTCTCAATTCTGTGAGGTGAAACTTTAAAGAGTCAAGGCCTTTTTTTTCCATGGTTGGTCAAGTAACCACAAACACACATTTTTCCTAGGCCTTATGAAGGCTATAATGCAATGATAACCTATTTATACATGGTTGATTAGGTACTATGTTTTTATAATATTATTCTATGCAAATTTTAATGGTATACTAATTTAATGATTTTGTGATTGTATATTCAAAATCAACTAATACATTGACATTTCTAATACATTACATTGTTAAAAGGCTGGCATGACTAAGTGGATAGCAGACTGCTTCATGAGCATTTTCCCCACAATCAGAGTTGTGGGTTCAAGATGTGTCAGTGCCTGCCACAACTATAATGGAAGCACAAATTCAGAAAAATAAGAGGTGTGGTGTTATAAACACTATACATACAAAATGTAGAAAAAGTACATTTATAGAACTTTTACTTAACACTAAAAAAATTAGCTATGCTATTAGAAAGTTTAAAACAAAAGTAGCCTAAGAGTTGACAGTGGGTGCTGACAGCCAACTGAGTTTCTCCTAGTCAGCCCCTCAAAAGTAGTGACAGTGTCAGGTACCTTCAGTAGTTTTGCCAGGATGAGCAATTCTGGTGGCAATGGAAATTGCACCTGAGACCTTTACATATGATGCCCGCCTCCCTCCCCCAATGAACCCATACTGACTTGAAGATGAGCAAAGTTGAAGTACAAGAAAAATTAAAAAAAACAACATAATGTTAAAATCAAGTTTCAATAGCCCTGTGAAAAGAGCATAGATGGGCCATAATGTACCTTTGTGATTAATGGCAAACATAATGGCAATATTTTGATTACTTGGAAAGTTGGAATAATCTAAATTAGTAATAATTGGAAACCCTAATTTTAAGTGGATGATTACTTTTGGGAAAATCAACTGAACCCTAATTTTAATTAATCTGTTGTTGGAATAATCAAAAACACTAATAATCAGAAATACAAATTTCAATTAGTTGACTATTTATGTGACAATCAATTAAACTGGCCAACTTTACCCACCACTTGTCAGAAAAAGTTTTGAAAACCACGACATATCAAATGCACATCTTCAAAGCTGTACACATCACACTATAATGTGGTAAACATTTTCAAATGAAAACTATTACAAGTAATTTAATACTAACACAAACATACACATAATAAGTAATTGGAAAATACTTTTAGTTACAAATATTTCACAACGTACTTCATATATGGTACAAAAAATCTTGATTTGGTTAAAGCTAATCTCATCTAATCAAAACCTTTAATTTATGTATATACAAATCAGGTCTAATTCTGGTCAACTTACATGGATTCACATCCCTATATCGGTTCAAGTTCTTGTTTTCAGCTTTTCTTGCATCTTTGTAGGTGAAGTTATAACTCAATGATTCACTTCGTATTTGCTAAAGAAATTAAGAATATCAGAATAAATAAGGTGCCAGAACCTCTCAGCCACTGAGGTTACCTTTCATACACCAAAACAACATTTTAGAAACTTGCAACAAAAGAGTCCTGTTTTTATAAACTCTACTAGGCATATTATAATAACATCTTTTGTTCCATCAATTCTCCCAGCAACAAGATGAATTATTGTATCGTATCTTGACACTGCTTAAATCCCATCTTTGGTATTATTTAAAACATTTCAAATTATCAAATACTGATCACTATATAATAGAAAGATATCTGAAGAGAGCCTGATTACCGAAGCCAGAAATAACTAAGAGGAAAATAATCAGATTTTGAGATTTGTTTTTTAAGAAGCACAGGTGAATTAGGGAGGACTTAATGCAGCTATTCAAAACCTGTTATAGGATTGGATAGCCTTTTTTGAGTGGTGGTATGAGAAAAGTTGAAATCACAATATCAGAGGTAGTATGTTTAAGCTATGTGAGTGTTCACTTGCAGAGTAGTTCAAAGATGATTATTTTCAATTATAAACTTTGTGGAATGTCTTGCCTGATGATACATTTTATGCTTTGATTTAGATTCTTTTAAAATTGTGTTTAATAGTTATATGAATGTGAAATGGTAGTCTACATTTACAGTTTATAAATTCAAATTTAAGTAGAAGATTACAAAATCAGTGGATTAACAACAGTGTAGTCAAAGGTAAATGCTGGTAAACTGGGTTCACCCACTTCTCATCTGAATAATATGGTGTTTATCACTTTTTTTTTAAGCTTCAGTGCTTACCATGCCAGTGTTCAGCCTGGATACCAACTACAAAAAGATATTTAGTCTACCCACTTTTTTTTTAAGAAAGCATAACTCATAATATATCCATATTTTTACACATTAAAAGTAAAAGCAAGACCTTGTATGGTTTAAATTATAAAAGCTTGTGAGTGAAATGTTAGAAAAATAATCATAGAATTTGGAAATCATAATGTACTTGCTTTGAGCTTGCTGTTCATCAACAACACTGAAAACGAGGGTTCAATTTAGAAATAGTGAATATTGTTACAAATACACATGATGCACTTCTTTTTTTTTGATCGAGTTGTAACAAAAGTATCCCTATCCACCTAGATCATTTATAGTTATAGATTCAAGGATAACATTACAATAATAAAAAAACTTAAGATGCTTGGCTTAATTCATGTGTATTATTTAAATGTACATTTATTTTTATTTTATGCTTAAATTTATGAGGAGAGGGGTTAAAAAATTAGTATCATTTTCTATGTAATATTAGTATAATTAATAAAGCAAGTGTAGAAAATAGGTGACGATGTCACATCAAGTTTAACAGTTTGACTTAAGGTGGCAGTAAGTTGACGTATGCAAACCGAAGACAGGCCTAAACTAATGTTTGTTTGTAGTTAAGCAAAAAAGTACACAATAGGGTATGTGTACAGTGCCTACAGCTGGTATCGAAACTCGGTTTTTAGCGTTATAAGCCTTCAGACTTACCGCTGTGTCACTGGGGGCTAAACTAAAATAATATAAGTAACACTACAGACAGAACTTGGTAAATCAGTAGTAACCAACATACTTCTTATTTTGGCCAAAACTAAATTATGTTGTGAAAAATGAAGTAATAGAAAGACTGGACAAAAAAAAACTAACAAACAATGTTACCATTCATGAATGTTACTGAGTAGCGTGTTACAACTACAAATTACAGTTATATAGTGTGTTTAGCGCCTGTGCAATAGCGGTTAGCAACAGTTCACTCACCTGGAAAACTTCAGCCCAAGCATTTTTGCCATCAATTTCAAAAAACTCCTGCTCCATTGTGAAAGTTTAAATTTTATTGGTAATAGAGGTTAGCCATCTAATAGCATGTTAAAATAAATCTTATTATATCACATCATAATTAACATCGACCACTTTTACTTTCACCTGTTTGACCCGCCGGAAGTTAACATGTTGCCCTCTGTCGGTTTCGTATATTTTATTCTAATAATTATTTTGGTTAAAAACAGAGATTGTCCTAAAAATTTATATAAAACAAAATAATAAATAATCATAGTAAAAACACACGTTTGATGCCTTCAACTCTCGAACAACAATTTATTTGTATTGTTTCGACCACAGGCCTATATCAGGGAGTTACAGATTTTTAAGTGAGTACCAGTTCTAAAAAGTGAGCTATTGTAAACAAACATTTATTTTTAATAATTATTTAAATCAGAACCAGGCACACTTCTAAAAATATGTTACGTGACAAACACATACATAAACATCTTTAGGGGCGCAATCCTCTATTGTTATATCCCAAGTGTTTAATTTTTAAAGACAACTCTTACATGATTATAGTTGTACGTCTTATTACATTTCAAATATTTATTTCACTTTTTGCGTTATAAAAAAACAACAACATTTTAATCATAGTTCGTGTAATATTACATCACAATAAAAGACCAGATAATAATCGGCTCACGTAGGCGTTATATATAAAAAAAAAATATCTACTTAGTACGTAAAACAACAACAACAACAAAAATTACGTAACCAATCGCACAAAATACTTGCCAAATAAAAATTTTTGCGAGCCAACTTGTAAAAGGGGAAAGACCATAACAATTTTTATTGTATCAAATGGCTTATACAGCTTTCCGACCACTGTTGTGTTTGTTATATTCTAGCCAGCTTGAAGAGTTCTAGTTTGAGTGAAACGCGTCGTTGACAATGGTTATGACAAATATATATAATGTGGTTGGAATACTATTATTACACACTCTTCTAATTCTTTTAGCAGACTTCACCCCCCAGTAGTACTTTCAGTACTTCTTTGTGGTCTTAGGTGGCCTTAAACAGAATTTGGGTTGCATTACTATGGCTGAAAACGGTATGGGATTTCTGTGTACACCATTCCATATGATATCAGTCTCGCCAGATATCTTTCTCACGTCAGCGACCCTTAGCTATCCATGCTTCTCTTGCAGTGATTCTCATGAGCAATGCTCACTCTGCTGATATGGGTACAACAGATGTTAGCTGAACTTCATGTGGCTGTGGCTGTAGAGAGATCAAAGTTATTGACTTTTGCAGCATCAGTGAAAGTGTGATGTCCATGATAATTCTTCTCATAGATTCGACAACTCTATCATACAGCTTCTCTTTTCAACAGTTAATTCTTCTTTTGATCATTAATACTTCTACTTGCAGAAAATGGCATTCTTTAGTAAGGAGGATTTCTTTAAATTGGATTACACAAGAGTTCAAGTGAGGGCAATTCAAATGTTAACAGAAAACTCTGCAATAATATTCTGTGGTCACAACACCAAAATGTTTTCTTCCTACATACTTTGTGGTATTATCAAGTAATCTGATCCCCAAAAGAATAAATTAGGTAGGTCCACTATATAATATGAAATTTGTCAAGATAAATTGCGAATTAATACTGAGCCTAAGCTAAGAAATAAATGGTCTGGACAAAAAGTGTGATACACAATGAAAATAATCTTTGTTAATATCACAAACAGAATGTGTGTACTTGTTTGTGTTCGACACTGTCTTTACTAGAGTTGTGAATTGATTAGGCTGGCTCTAATCTCTCTCAATTCTTATTTCCCAGCTCACTGACTCATTCAAAATGATATTCCAGTGACTTGTCATTCATATTCAAATATAAAGGAGGATGTTATCTCGATATACCACCTGATCTACCACTGAAATATTTTGTTTGTTTGTTGTAAAGCTACACAGTGGGCTATCTTTGTTCTGTCTACCGCGAGCATCGAAACCCGATCTTTAGTGTTATAAGCCGATTGATTTGCCGCTGATCACCGAGGGGGGGGAGAGGGGGTGGCAGAAGAAACGAAAAATTTTGAAAGTTTCTACGCGAAGTAAAGAAGTGTAAATCGTATTATATACCTCCATACCATACGTTTATTAAAAACACAGTTCCATTTCTGATACAATATCTACATCTGAAGTTATAAAACACATTTAAAATACCCTCATAAAACAATAATGGTAACAGCTTTAACTTGTTATATGCTTCAGACACTGATACATTAAAACGAAAATATTTCGTTTTTTCCTATCGGTATTTGCAGTTCTTGTTTAATTTTATCGTATCATTTATGTTTTTGCTACAAATGTAACACTAACTAATTTAATAATGCACGTTAGAATGCCTTTAAGAATGTTTAAAATAATTCAATTTTTGTTTTATGGCTATTTACCTGCTGTTTTACATTTAATGAATTTTATATTCGACATCATATGTAAAATCTTTTAACTTAAGGGTGATATTTCGGATTGCTAGGTAGTTCTTCATCAGGTCAAACATGGGTATCATCATCATTATCATTGAAGGTGTTCATCATAGCCAGGAAAGTCAGCAAAATATCACCTTAATCTTCATCGTGTTTGGTGTTTTGAAGATTGCTTGTATAATAAACTTGCCACAATTTAGGAATATATCAGGAACACTCAAGATGTAACCAAACTCATCTTCACCCCTACTTGTGGTAATCTACTGGAGTGTATGGAAGAATAAATAACTACTAAAGGGGGAAGGAGACGAAATTTCCATGGAAAATGGTAATCAACGCTGAAAAAAATGGAGAAACAGAATATAATACTAAAGTGTGAAGTTAATCTACAATCAATTTTCTCCAAATTTCCAATAGGTAGGAGATAACAATAATGAAAGTATAATTAAACCTGACAAATTTTAAAAGGTGATTTGTATTAAACCCAGCAAGAAGGTGCAGAGCTACGGGAAGGTATCAGTAAGAATGTTACATGCAACAGGCCTTTTGAAATATTTCTTCACATGTTTAAATAGTCTGGTAGATTACTAGACTTCAGCAAGCAAATATTAGCAATACAAATGTCTTTATTCTATGGTCTGTGCCGTCTAGACAAGCACCCATAAAGGTGTTGGATTAAACTTTTATATAGTTTGATTGCTGTAGAAGTATTATAACACATTGCATTTATGACAGTATCTGCATTAAAATTTACTCTTGAAAACAACATATGTACAAATATAAAAAATGTAGTCTTTCAGGCATGGGCCCACTACCAGATGATTCCAGCAAAGGATTATAGAACACCATACTTCTCCCATCTTTACAACTCACGTGTTTTACAGAATACTGTGGAATATGAATGTGATATCAATTTCGAGAAATCTGTCATGCTATTCAAGGCAACAGATGAAAGGACTTTACGGTCCTCTGACAATTAAAACTATCAAACTAGAAATAAACGTCATGAAGAATTCTTAATATGTGAACGTGGTTTACAATTATTGATTTCAAATTTATATTAATATTAATATTTATTTTGCAGAATGTTTTTATGCATATTATATTTTGATTTTCTCTGGTTTTCAATTTATGTTTCATATTTTGATAATTTATCTCTTAATTTTCTTAGTTTTTAGTGCTGTGAGTATGTTATAAGGATGAACTCAAGTCCCACTGTTCAGTGAAGAGCAGTTCAAGAGTTGCTGGGGATGCTAATGGCTAGCTGCCTTCCTTCTAGTCTATCCGTTCAAAATTAGGGATGGTTAGTACAGATAGCCCTTGAGTATCTTTGCAAGAACATACCAAAAACAAACATACAAACATTTGCTCTTTATGTTATATGATTGTGAAATTTATTGTTATTCAAAATAAACTCACTCAAAAAATATAAACAAAATGTTAGAAAGCAGCACGAATCACAGGTTTGAATTTTATAAAGACACTGTTACTGACTAGATAAATCCTTCTGAAGAAGGAAACCAGGGACTGTTGAAATGTATCAGGTCCTTTATATTAAGCCCCCCAGTGGCACAGCGGTATGTCTGCGGACTTACAACGCTAGAAACCGGGTTTCGATACCCATGGTGGGCAGAGCACAGATAGTCCACTGCGTAGCTTTGTGCTTAACTTCAAACAAACGAACAAACCTTTATATTAAATGTTGTGTTTTAATCCTTGGCTTATAACGTTGTTTTCATGTCTTAAATTTATAGATTTGTGCAAAAAAGAAGCCTATTTACAAAGATATATGACTTTAGCTTGTGGACGTGTTCAACATGCACCACGCGATCACTGGAGGTGTTTTTTGGTGGACCATATTTTCAGATAATGAGATACAGACTGGTCCAATCAGAGTTGAGTTGTTTTCAAGCTATGGGCACATAACTAAAGCCATACCCAGATTCCATGATCAAGCATTTGTTCCTTTATCATTGCACCGTTTTTGCCAAATGGCGGCACTGCCTATTTACTGATGTACAAAATTATGTGTATCAACTAGCACGGGTCTTACCTACTCCACATAATCTTACAGACATAAGACTTACAGGTATATCTTCATTAGAAGTGGACCATGCGTCACACCCACAGGGTGCTGTATTTTTTGGTCAAACATGAGCGTGTACAGCAAACAGCTAGTTGATTTCCGAACTACTGCATGATATGATAGATATTCATCCCAATTAGTTCTGTCAGGATAATAAACTTTGAAGATACCTGCTTTATAGTCTGTATTACCTGTTCCACCAAACCCTCAGATTAATGGTGATAAGGCAAGTAGCTATAGACAAGCTATATAAACTACTAGAGTATTTGATGAAACATAACGGTAGCATATGTATATATACTATATGTATATAGATAAACACGTGTGTGTGGCACCACGTCCATAGATGTTTTAAATAAGTTAAAACAAATGAAGCAATCACAGAGGTAGTGTGGTAATAAATAAGAAGGGCATAAGAAAACAGTGAGACAAAGGCTTTGATCTTGATGTTAAAAGCTGATGAGTATGAAGTTAATTGTGATGAATAACCTGGTAAGTATTATCGGAAAATGTGATGTACCTTTTATTTTCTTTAATGCTAAGATAGAATGTTTCAATTTCAACGTTGGGATATTCTGCAGATGGTGATTTTCTATGAAAGAGGCAATAATTACAAAGAGACTCAACGATAGAAAGAACACAGTTTTATCCGGTGTTTCTCAAAAGCATAGAGCAAAGTAATCTTAACTTGATCATATTGACTGTTAATGAATGAGTGTGACTGTTAGAATTATTAAACTTCACAAATAATGGTTAGATATTATAACAAATATATAAACATAGTGTACCTTGTGTTTTATTTGATTATGGTAGGAATGTTCTCAAGGGCGCCCGCAGAAAAACATTAGAGGGATCAAATAACTCAAGTTTGAAAAATTATGAAATTGAAATAGTTTTCTTCTATGGATGACTGGAAGTCGCCATTTTTCTGTCACGGGCTGAAAAGATATAAAACTACGATTCGAAGTCTTGAGCAATTAGAATCCAATCAATTTACTTTTGCATTTGAATCCAGTCTTTCAGTATCTGAGATCAAGTTCCAGCCACAATCAATATCTCGTTTTGATTTTCAACCTTACCTGAAAAAGTTTTCCAGTGTTTCTGAGTTCCATTTCCAATTCCTATTTTATTTCCTACTCTGACTGTAAAAATGGATCGTTCATCAACTTATGAAGCCTCGCTACTGCTCCAGAATGCCCAATATTTTTTCTAGAGTGAGAGACATGGAGACAGAGAGTACTGGGATAATATTTAGTGAGCCCATGGATGAAAACACGTTGCTTATTGGTGCATCTGATTTTGGAGAGCTCACTTAATTGGTAAACAGGTTGGTGTTAATGTTCCCAGGGGCTGATATTCATGCTACAGCTGATGAAGGCCTTGGCCCCACTGTGAAGTCCAGGGAAATTCACACTATTGGATCGTCAGAGTCGATGTTGTTCCATCTGGAGGAGCTTAGCATCCAAGCAGCAAGAGTTTCTACTGCTGTTGATAATGTTTAAGAAGTGAAGATTAAAACAAGAGGAGTCCAGTGATTTGTCTAATTATTTGGTGCAGTACAATTGACTAGGAGGAAATGGCAGATAAGACTGTTACCTCCCTAAGCCCAAGAAGAACACTACGCCGGTTTCTATGGGCATCCATGTCATGGAAAGATAAAGGCAGTGCAAAGTTGCTATTTGAGCAACGAAGTTAAGAGCGATGGAAGCGCAGCTGAGTCATATGGCTCATCCAATAGTTCATGCCATTAATAAGGGAACCGCTACCCCAAGAAGACTGGATGAAGCAAAGGGCCACTCTTTCATAAAGATATGAAGAGGAGGTTTGGCACCTGAAGGATAGGCTAGCTAAAGCTGAATGGAACCTGGTGAGAGCCCAAGCAGACCTTAAGGCATCAACAGCCGTAAATAGGAAAACAGCATTGACATTGGAAGCTCTGCTGATAGGATTAAGGTTATTGGAGTGACGAATCAACCACTTTCTGGTGTGAGTGAAGATTTTATATTATTTTTGTTAATGTATTACACTTGTGTTTGTATATTTTGTACTTAAATTTTAATGGATAGTGTCAGCTGCCTTCCATAGTCATGAGTGCATGTGGAAGGTGGTGGCCTAGAGGTTTTTCCTCGTGTGTAGGGTGATTGTATATATTTATTTCGTTTTGTTTTACTTTGTAATGACAAGGTCTGGCCCTTTCATGCTAGAGAATAAGAAGGATTAGGAAGATTTTTTCTATGCAGTTTTCATACGAGATTGTGTAAGCAAGGAAAGGTTAGTTTGTATTTTTATTTTATTGACTAAAGGTTTTTTTCATCTATTTTATGGAATTAAAATTTTGCTTTTGTATTGTCGTAGCCAGGTGTTATGTTTTGTTATAAAGTTAAAGTACAGTGTTTTATTTTCAGTACAATTATTATGATTTTTACACAATGCTCTATCTGTGATCTCCCCACTGCAGATACCAAAACTTGAATTTTAACGTTGTAAGCTGTGAGACTTAGTGCTGAGCCACCAGGAGATACGATATTTATTAAAAATTATGCAAGTTAAAATAATGTATTATATTTTATTTTCATTTTAGATTCAATTAAAGAGTGTTATATATTTTGTTATGAGCCTTTATTTATCTTTTATTTCGTATTTATATCTGAATCATTATTAAAGGTCAAATTAGAATGCTTCATTGCTAAAGGATCATTATTGTATCTTATACTCTTTTGGTTTAGTTTAGTGATTAGTTGTTTGTTGCTGTTTAGGCTGCACACTCTTGAAGTGCATTTTCTTTATTTTTTTAGTTTAGTTTTACTTTTTATAATTGTAAGCATGCACGTGTGCATTGTTTTATCGTTGTTAAATTGTTATTTTATGTATTTCAATAAAAGTTAAAGGGTTTTCTTTTAGTGCTGAATTCTGTGTGTGATTACAAGTAAACGTTAAAGGGGTTTTCGTTTTTGTTTAAGATAAAGATTTTATTTTAACTTTGCTAAAAGTTGTTTGGATGATTTTTTCTGTTATTAAAGTTTTTATAATGTTTGTAGGTTGTAAATCAATGTTAAAGAGTTTTGATCTTATAGCTTAATTGTAATTCACTGTTAAAGGGTTTTTGACGTCTGTGTAGCGTGTATGTGTTTTTAGGGGTGAAGTAAAGTTAATGTGCTCATAGAAAATATTTGTAGTTTAAAGATCATTAGTTTTAAAGTTACTTTTAATTGTTGCTTGAGGACAAGCCTGAAAAAGAGAAGGGAGGAAAACTGTGATATCTAAACATATTATCTTTTTTCTTTCTATTTTGGTGATATAGAAAATTTTGAAATGTTTTAATTATTTGGTTTATATATGTAGTTTTAGCATAAACACATGACCCAGAAGGTCATTGAGATTGTCTTGTTCTAGTTGCTTTTTTTTGTTGTTGTTGTTCATTATAATAGGTTATGTCTATTTTGCCCGAAAGAATATAACAATAAAATAAAGTATCCTAGTTGAAAGTATTAGCAATGTAATATTCTTTGCTGGCTGCGTTGACGATTCCTAAAGGTAACTGCCGACCAAAGCTGTGAGAGAACCGAAATCATGTAGTGATGCTGTTGACTGGACAAAGAAACTGAGCTTACCTATTGAGTTTCAGTGTGATTTCTTTACCTGGTTCTATTAGAAAATTGTCGAGTAAAAACTTTCTTCATGACCACTATGTTCAGTTCGACAAATGTCGATCTTGAGACAACGAAAGCTGTGGAGCTAAACACACTCTAGTAGAAGCAATTGTCTTTTTATATGTGCAAGTATGGATGCTGTACATTCTTTTCGTTTGTCTAATAAAAAAGACTGTTATCACAATTTCCAAATTTTTCGAGCTTCGTGGGTCACACACACACATACTAGGAAAGCTCAATTAAGTTATCATAATTAGAATTAATCTTCTTATTTTCTGGGCAAATCTGCTGCTATTTGTATTTGATACTTGCCAGAAAATCAGTTTTTACTTGCAAATATCACAAAGCCAGCAACCAGCAGAATATTTTCAATAAACAAAATGTTTGTGAATAACGTATTTCTCTTATTTTAACATAAAACATCTTTATCAACCTCTTTTTCTTTTGGTCGCGTTTGTTGTGTTGAAACTCTACACGCATTCTAAGAATCTATTTTTATTGTGGTACTTAAGGTACATAATTTACTTAACTATTGATTAGGTACACCTTGGAACACCTCTCTAAATACTCTACACAACTAATCACAAATAATCGCAATTACAATTAGCATTAATATCTAATTACATTCACCATCAAACAGAAATAATAATAATATAAAAATAAAAGAAATTGATGAAACTATAGCGTCCTCTATATGTATTTAGGGTGACAGAAATAGGATCAACGGATTGATTAACCTAGTCTATTTGATCGTATGTAAATATGGACAAAATCGAAAAGCACCGTACGAATTATGAGTAAAGATTAAACCTAATAGTAGTACGGGTTCATCTCATAAGAAAGAGCGGAACAAGATGTCAAAATGAGGTACACGTTTTTTAAAATGTTTCATAATACAACAACCGATCTGTAATTTGTAAATCACTAAAGTCATATGAATAATGATATAACCTGAATGATATCGATAATTCTAAAGTGTAATGCTTTTAGTATTACTAACATTAGTAATAATACCAACTGCAGTACAGAAAAACCACAACAGAGAAAAATGAGAGGTATCGACATTATACATAATGAAGTTATTTTATACAGAACTGTGTTGTGATGTGTTTTGTTCACGTTATTGGCTCAGAATATTAATTCGAAAATTTTAGATAAACGTTTAGAGCATAAGTTGAAAAGATCCAGGTTTATTTGAAAGCACGTAAATACGCCTTTTATTTTTAACTTTTAAAGTCTTAGATAATGCTAGAAAGGAAGGTTTGGGCTTTTGGGGTTATTGCTGCACAGAAATTACTGTACCGGTATATCTCCAGATCTTTTTTTCCCTCGTCCAAATTGTATCCACAGGATGGGATTTGGCAGGAATAAATTCCATATTCTATCCCATCCACATTTTCATTATATGTGGTTCTTTTGCTACTTGTTTAATTTTTTGTTTTAAACAAAACATATTTCATAAGTACTATTTCATGTTATGTGAACAGCCAAATTCTTTAAAATTTAAGTTATTTACTAAGCTTAAAAATAAAATACAGTAGTAACACTAACATGTGTAAATCTGTCAGATGAAATTTTAATTGATTATAGAAATAGAAGTATTTTTAAATTTGGTTATTTATTAAAACACATCCTGTCAACTTGATAAATAGAATAATGTATGTTTGTTAAGATAAGAAAAACTACATGGCTACTTACAAATAAATCTGACTGGCAGTCTGGCCTTTGTATAAACTCTTGTTGCTATTTAAATACCACTAACATCTGGTTTCTTTATAAGGAAAGCTAACTTAAAACCATGCCTTTGACAGTCCATAAATTTTTTTTTTCAGCATTATAAGATAGTAATTCCATTCAAATTGTGAATTAATGTTGAACAATCTCATCACAAAATCCTATTCCTATAGGTGCTTGCTTCAAAAATGTGATTTTTTTTTTTATAATAGATGTGCATGAGTATTTAGATTTAAGTAAATGATTAAGTTATATTAGATGAGCAAAGTGCCTAAAATAGGACTTTCACAATTTGAAGTTAAACTAGAGATAAAACTCTTGCTTTGGGCAAGAAACATTTTTTTTTTGGTTATGGTATTTTGTAATCGAATGCACAAAGTTTATACAATATAAAGGCAGTGCTGGGTATTTAAAGTGATTAAAACAGTGAAGTGACTTGTCCAGACTACTCACTTATGAGATTAATTACATAGAGTACTGAATGAAGCTGATGGCCATGTAAGGCATCAATGTTACTGTGAAGTTAAAGATAAGTGGGTTAAACCTATGTCATCAAACAGTTTTAGTTCAAAAGACACTTAACTGAGTGGTCTGATCCAAATTGACAAACAGATAGACTTAGCTGGGTATTGGGACAAGTATTAAAACTCAAAAGGGTGACAGCACCAGTATTCTGAATGTCTTTAAAAAAAATTAAAAAATTCACACAATACCTTAACACATAAACAGTGTCTGAGGTGGAGCTCTGAAGGATGACAGATCCATTTCCCAAATACTTTTGCTTCTGCAGTGCATAGTACTATCTACATCCAATCCTCCTTTATGTAAATGGTGATGACATGTATCATGACATCTATCCGTAATTTATTTTTTGCATACTTCAATGAAGTTTGAAAAGCTTCCCACGCTGCACACGTTAGTCTTTTGATTAAATAGATTTAACTGAATTTTTTCATACATGATGATTTGATATAAGAAATACTATCATAATACAGTATTTAAGTTGATACAAATTATCAAATTCAACTGGGTTATTCATGTTCTATCAATGCATTCAGTCCAAATAGTGAGAGTTGTCATCTGTAACTTATGCTGCATCATGAAGACCTGCAGGAATAGGAATGGATGACCAGATGTTATTTTCCTCATGAGTTTAATGTATTTCAATTGTATTTCCAACACACACACACACAAAAGAGAACATCTAGCAACAAAATATTTTGTAAATGGCCTCCACTTTCCCCTTATAGCCACCCTATCTTCCCAATCTTTTTCTCGCTTGATCTCATAATAAGCAGGAATTACTCTAAATAAAATACAACTAAAAAATATACTATAATAAAGAAAACTAAAAGACTAAAATCATAAGTTGTATTTATTGAAAAACTTGTGAATGCCAAACCATTTTGAATAATTACCATTGGGAAGTCATACATGTATTTGTTTTCATGCAGCTTTCCTGCATTTTAAAGTGGTAGTACCTAGCAGCTTAGTTGATTTGTGTGATGGGAGGGTTTTTGAATGCAAGAGCCAATGAAATAACATATTAATTTAAAACAAATCCATTAATAAAGAACAAGAAGCACTCCAATTTTGTATGTGCATCTTGTAAATGAAAAGACAGGAAACTGTGCAAGATTATTTTTTATATTTCAGAAATTAAATTAAACAATCATATCAAAGTATTAACATTTATTGTTTCAGTGGCCTCCATCTCTCCCCCACACCCCCACTACAGCCATCTTCTCCTCCCAACATTCTTGAACTTACAGTACGTACGATGATAGTTATATTTGAGCTAATGAACTCTTCAGAAACACGTGGACATGAACACACACATCTCATGGCCTGTTACTTGAGCTAATAAACATTTAAAACCAGGTTAATTATACAACTTCCCGAGAAAGGAAAAACTATTAAACATCTCAGTAACATAATGTTGAAAAACGAAAAATAAAGCATGTAAGTATATCATTAACCTTTTACGTATGGGTGGGGGTCAAAGTGTGATTCAAAATAGTATTATGTACTTGATGTCAGAGTTAAACTATTTGTGTTATCCTATATTGCTGATTCAACAACAGTTCATTGTAGAGGAGAGTAAATAACAAGTACAAAATATAAGGATGCTAAAAAACTAGATATACATTTCAGAGGTTCTAGAAGTTATGTAAATACAATATGCAAACTTTATGATGGACAAAAATATTTATACTTCACATGAACATCACCTTGCACTCTGACATATCAGTCTAATTCAGACTAACATAATTAATTTATAGATATGTTGAACACAAAACCGTGTAAATTCTCTGATTTTTGTGTACAACATACTTGTACATTTTGCAAAATTTTAGCGAATTTTCATGTAGATATGCCTAGTAAATTTGGAATTATAGTATATTCATTTTCCAACACAGGTTCATTTCAATGGACTGAGCTTATGCACATTCAGGTAACACTTATTATATATGACATTGAAAAACAAACAAAAAAAACATTTAAACATCTGAGTAACATAAGATTTTGATTATGATAACCATAAAAGAAAAAAGCTATTTCCAGTAACATAATTATATATAACAGGTAAATGATACACATTGTCCATGTCTGTATAATTTTCTGTATTTTCAATGATGCCACTCTTTGCACTGTGAATATTATACTATGAAATTGTTACTTGTAAAATGTGGCTGTCTGCATACACTGTACACTTTTATATTTTATGATATGCATCTTGGTGTATTACCTCTTTTAGCTTTATTGTGAGGAAATGGTGACATCCCTTACAAGATGTGTATTCGTGTGTTCCCACATTTTGGACTGGTCCAAAATACAGTTGAGAAATGTCAAAAATTATAGTTATAGTATGGTTGCCAGTTGTTAATTAAAAAGGCTTTTATTTATACTTCTTAATAGTATAAATATATACTGTGTTATTGTTGGGCTTAGAATTCTTCTACAGTAAGTCTCTGTGACTTGTTGGCGATAAAGTCAACAATAAATAAATAAACAGCACGTATTTCACTTTGTTTCCAAATTAATATATATATTCAGAACAAGTTAAACGTATGTACAACAAATTCACAATATACAGATTATACGCATATTATAAACACTATATATATATATATTATATATATATATATATATATATATATAA